TTCGCGTCGGTCGCGATCGAGCTTGCCTTTTAGTCGCTAGACTAAGCGCCGCGACCCCTGGCCGAACTTCGCCCGCGCTTGAATCTGGGCCCCGTTGCCGAAGAAATCGTTCGACCCTGTTCACGTCGCCAAGACGCCATCTTCCGCTCGCCCCCCCTTCCCACCATGATCGGCTGAGCTTGCGACTCCTATTTCTGCGCCGCTCTTGTGGGCCCCTGACTTTTGCCGCGCATTCCCAAGTGGACCCCCGAGTTCCACTTTGGCCCTCATGCGCGGCAGCTCTGGCCCTAGATTTCAAATGCATTGCGCATTCGCAACTTTCGGGCAACGCCCTGGTTAACTTGCGCGCTCGACACCTCTCGCGACCCGCCTCGCCGCCAGCGCCCGCCGTGAATTCGTTGACGCGCGACGAAGCATGCGGTGCCATCCAGGGCGCCGCATTCATTTATACAGTTGTTTCGTTACTGCGCGGACTTCCACCCCCGCAGCTGCCCGCGCCACCTCATTGACTGCGTCCTTGAAGGCCATCATTGAAGACCCGCCGTCGCCTATGCGCATGGATTGCCCTGCGATGTCATTCGGCCGCGCTCATCTCCCACCGCGCTCGCAAGGTAGCTGCTGGCCCACTCTGGGCAATGCCCGACTTCGCGCGAGCTCGGTTTGTCTGGAATACATTGCAAGTGCATGATTGCCCCACTCACCGCCAGAAGCCGAATTCAAACGCGCCCTATCCGGTGCCCCCCCTGTCCTCATCAGACTGAAACCTTTTTTTTCCCAGCTTTGCCGCGAACGCCGCGCGGGGGGCGACTTCTGCGCGGCAGAGCGACGATTGCCGCGCAACTCTACTTCGACTCGCGGGGCAAGTGTCGCGCGCGATGCTCTTGACCGTCTCGGCATCTTCGCCGATAAGTGCGTCTGCTACGTCGCCCGCGTCGCCACCTGACACGCTGCCCCCCGCGCCATCGCCGCCGTCGCCCGCTCGCCATCGCTCGCGCCCGGCGCCGAGATACGCGGGCTCCAGGGGCCGAGCGACAGCAGCCCACCCGCTGGCCTTCACGCCGCGACAACGCCTTCTTTTTACCCGCCCCTTGCGCTGAGTGACTGGCCGCTTTTCCCTTGCTCTCGGGCGCCGCTGTGCTTTCCCCCGATGTTTCGCGCCCCGGGCAGCTGCGGGATTGCCGGCCCTCGCCCATGTCAGGCGCCATCCTGCTTCGTGTCTGCGTTTTCTCGCGCTGGCCCCAATCCGCCTTGCATCGGCCACTTGGGCGGGCGCGCTCACTCTGGCTCGGTTCCCCGTTGCTCTTTGACTGTCACCCTGGCCTGCCGCTCCATGCGCGGCGCTTCGGCCTCGCGGCGGCGCAAGCTCCTGCGCCGGGTGGGCCGACGGCGCCGCGCGCCCCTGCGCGCACTGTTCCGACCGCGGTCTCAACGCTCATTGCTGGGCAGTCTTAAGACGCTGGATTCACCTCGATCGACTTGCCGCTCACGTCTGCCAACAAAGCGTCGTCGCGCCTCTGCCCCCATGACTTGCAACCTCCAGTCACTGCGCGTGGACGTCGGGCTTCGGGCCCAGATGCCCCGCGCCCTGGTGGGCCGCGGCAGAACTCGCGCCTCGCCGGGCGCCCGTCGCCCACGCGCGCAATGCACGTGCCCAGCCCGCTCCGACGCTGCGCTCGCGCATGTCTTTGGCGCGCGAGGCGCGGCGCCACCTCCCGCGGGGCTTCTCCCGGCGGGCCCGGCCCTACAGCGCGGCGGCCCGGGTGCGTCTCGAGCCGTGGCCGACCCGGCGCGCGCGACGGAGCCTCTCCTGACAGGTCTCGGCTTGCCTAGATGTTGTTATTTGGGCATGTGGCCGCCAGGTGGCCTTTCTGTCCACGGGTGGTAACATTCCCCTTCGCTTATTGGGGCGCGCCCTTCACCTCCGCCTTTAGCGTGCCCCAGATTTTGTGGCCTCGGCGGCCAGCTCCAACCGCCGCCGCTATTCCGTCGAGCTCCCGCCGGCCGACTTGGGCGCCCCCTCTCTTAGAGACCCCGACGCCCTGGCCTTCTACTTGCCAGTCCTTGGCCTTGAGCCCTCGTCGTCTGCATTTGTCACGCATGAGTTCCGCGTTGCTTTTCGGCGTGCCAACCGCGAAAAATGCTGCCCCCTTTTAACACAACTCATCATCATTCCCAGTGCTGAGCGCCATCGCTATCATTTTGCCGCCAATATCCTTCTTCGTCGCAGCCCCCGCTTCTGTCATCTGCTCCACGGCCTGGCGCATCATGCGACTGGTCACCTGATTGGACTCCTACGCCGACGTGAGACTGCACTATCCTGCGATAACTTGGGTTGCCTGGGGGGTGGGGGCGGCCGATAAACCCAACCTCCTCGCTTCCGGCGGCCCTGCGCATGCCCGCGCGCGCCAGCGCTGCGCCCCCCGCGCCAGCTGACGACGCTGCGACGATGCCATTAGAGGCGCTGAGACGGTGGCGGCGCCGTCTGGGAACGCCCAAGAGTAGGCTTGGACAGCTAGCATTCATTCGCACATTCGGCTTGTCGCCAGAAGCGTGACAAAAAACTCTCTCTATCCATCGCGCCACTGTTCTTCGAATCGGCGCCCACTTCTGTTTTGCGCGCCCAGTCCTCGCGCTTAAGATGCAACGTTTGGCGCGGTTCCTCAGCGAAAGACCCTGGGGGGGGACAGCCTTGTTGCGATTTACCAGTGCGGGTCATGCTCATATTGGGCACTGCAAGTCAAAACGGCATGGCTTACGCATGCGATGTTCCACGTCTCCCGAACAAGTGTTCGCCCTACCTGTTCATTCCATCAACTGCTAACGCGTGGTCTTCGATGGTGTGATATGTTAATTGCCATTCTTTCGATGCCTGGTTATTATAGCTGCACTGGCTTGCCGCTACTCATTCTGATGTTACCACCTTCTTCGCCTGAAGCTGGTACCGCTCCACCCGTGGCCTCCAATTTGAAGCTGGGCATGTTGATGCATTTGCGGTTCCAGTTGGCCGCCTGTGCTATAGTATTGAATAAACAGGCGTTCCATTCATGACGTTCCGACCTGTCACCGCTGAAGTTCTTGAACGCCTGAATTGCATCTGACTCACTCGTCGTGCGCTGGCTACCTCGGCCCATGCTTGGGTTTATCATGGATGAGAGTTCCGTCAACGGGCCATTGGTGCTCAAGTTGTTCACTCAACAGCACGCGCAGATTCGCAAATTTCCTGTTCACATTGTTTGTTTGTTTCTGTCCCATGCATATGCTTACCCATAGGTCGGAAGAAATGAATATAAACATGAAAGAGGAAAACGCTGAACATGGACTGGGTTCCGTCCGCCCCCTGAGGATAACGGAACAAGGGGAAGCCACTAGAGTAGATCTGAACCTGGGAATCCAAAAAAAACATACTTTCAACGTCCGATGGGTGCCAGTGCTGCATTTGACTTACCGAACATGTGCAGCAACGTGCACGCATGCTCTCTGGACATCTCTCGTGCGCCCGCCAAGGCTTGGACACTGGGAAAGGGATAGCACGTCGCACCGAAGCGTGGTGGGCCAACGTCAGCGGAGCGGCACGTAATCCACAAGTTCCCGACCGTACGGTAGAGGGGAACAGTTAGTGGGCTCTTCCCCTCTCCCCCGAACTCAAAGCTGGCACGCGCGGAGGATACCGCGGTCCAAGTGCAACTCATCCGACCCACCGCCAACTTTGAACATGGGGGGGAGGTGGAGGCGTTGACCGATGAGTGTAGCATACATGCAATTGACCAGTCTGGGCGTCTACTCCGTCTTCCTTGTGCAGGTAGTGCCACAACGTCGTTCCGCTGCCATGCAAGTCTTCCAGAACGATTGTGACGAGGATATCGTGTTCTTCCACGAGTAACATGTAATTAACAGCTCTGCGTGTGCTCGTGCTGATGCTGCCGACAATGTGTAACTTGAACTGGACGGCGATACAAGCGCTCCTTCTCCTCCTTATCCTCCTCCTCCTCCTCTTCCTTCTGCTTCTTTCGTCGTACCCTCCTTATTTTCCTCCTCCTTCTTCTCCTCCTCCCCCGTACCCCTCCTGCCAGAGCAATTGACCAAGCGCTGCTCAGCCCAAGAGAGACATCGCAACTTCCTGATCGAATCATCCACCATTGGTCGCAGCTCAGCCGAGATCCGAGAATGGCATTGCATCCTCCGCCCCTTCCCTTCCCACCTGTGCTGGCTGCAAGCTCAAGGATCACAGTGGAAAGGTATGCAGATTGCAATGCAAGTTGACCGACCTTGGGACATTCACAGAATTGCTTAGTCAGATGTTCTATTATGGCCTTTCCGAGCTCCGCTCTTCTACATCTGCCAGCTTCCGCAGAACTTTGGACTCCTCCCCCTGTCCTCCTCCTCCTCCTCCTCCTTCTCCTCCTTCTTCTGCGCCTGGACAGAGGCGAGCCCCTCCTCAGGGCGCGCCAGGCAGAAGGCCTGAGCGGGAGACAGCGAGATCAGCAAGCTACGGCAACCACATGCGAACCCTACCCCTGGAGGCCCTAGAGGACACCTGTTCTACGTTCTGGGGCTAGCAGGATTCGAGGGGGACCAGCCAGTGAACCTTGCCTGGTGTGTCGGACACCAGGGTGTGGCTTGGACCCGCAGGGCTAGGATTTATGCATGTGGCTGCAGGGCTTGAGCAGGGACCGACCGTCCTGGCATTCCTATAGTCATACCACGAAATGTTCTTAGAACCCAAAAATGTTCTAATAGCAAAAACAATGTTCTTAGAACAAAAACCCGATGCGTTAAAACAAGACAGTCCTAGCCAGAACTGCTCTAAGAACATTTCGTGGGAACCACAAGCAATTCTTAGAACATTCTTTGGTGGGGCTATAGGCGAGCCGGGACGCTTCGCCACTGTGGCTGGAAAGCCGGCCGCACCAGCGTGCACACCTGACCCCGAGCACGGCGCACCATTTCCTCGCTCGCCGCCCTATGGTACACAGTCGCGGCAGGTCGGCCCCTCGGCCGCCTCACTCCGTATCCATGCTGGGCCTCTCGTCGAGGCCCTCAGCCGCGGGCCACCTTGTGCCATGGTGGGCTGGCCACGAGAGCCAGGGGGCTCAGGAGCAGCCAGGGACAGGCCCCCCTCGGAGCCCAGAAGAGCACACGCGTTCCTTGGGACCGGTCCAGCCGGCCAGGGCCACGCCGCTGTATCCTGGCCGGCCACAGTCTAGCTCCCAGACCGGTGTCCGCGGAGGGATCGGGAGGGGGGCCTCGGCTCCCCTCAGGAGCGACCCTGGGCAATAGGGACCTTTGGTGCGCGGCTTCACGTGGGTGCGGGGGGGGGGGGGGGGGGGCAAACCCAAGCGCGCAAGCCGCTGCTGTCGCATGGCACTCAGCGAGCGGGGTGCCCCGATGGGCCAGCACCACGGGGCCACTGCGGCGAAGGGTCGCTCTTGCGTGGGGGCGAGGGGTCGGCTCCGCAGGGCTCCCGAACCCAGGCCGGCCTGAGGGGGTCGGAGGGGGGTGGGCCGACCCTCGTTGGCGCTGACGCCCGTTGCCCGTGCCCCGGGGGGGTCTGCCCTGGCTGATCCTGCACCCTCCCAGCGAAAATCCGACGCAGTGCTTGTGCACGACATCGACCCCACCCTGACCCTGGATCCGCCGCACTCTGGTCGATCCCTCGACTTAGAACTCAGGGCGAGGAGATCTACACATCCGCCACCGTGCCTCTGGGCACGGAGTGGGCGTGTCTACAAATCCTTTGCCCAATCCTTGGAGCCGCAGTCCTCAGTCCTGAGGAGTCTTGAAGGGGCCGGGAGCCGAAATTGCCAAAGCTCCTGGTGATTGTCGCCTGCTCTTTCTGGGCTCCCCAGGGACTTGTCGCATAACTTTTTCGAGCCCACAAAGGCCCCAAGACGGGCCCAGAGAGCTCTAGGAGGCCTCCAAGATGGCCCAGGAGACTCCGATACGCCCAACAATAGCCCCAAGAGGCCAAAGCTGGCCCCAAGACGGCCCAAGAAGCTGCCAATACGCCCCAAGAGGCCTCGAAGAAGCCTCCAGATGCAAACATCATTGCTGTTCTTTTAGGTTTTGAACGGTTTGGGCGTTCTCGCCTTTTCGGCTTTCCGATGCTCCACGACGGCTCAGGAGGCCCCCACAAGACCAGCCCAAAACGGCCCAAGAGGCCCCCAAGAGGGCCCCAAGACGGCCTAAGAGCGCCCCAAGCCGGCCCGAGAGGCGCCCACGACGGCCTGAGAGGGCCCCAACAGTGGCCCAAGAGAGGGAACACGAACCGAAAATCCAAGCCTTCCGCCCCAAGAGGCCCCCAGGAGGCCCCAAGATACCTCCAAGAGGCCCCCAAGAGGCTCCAAGAGGTACCCAAAGGAGGCCCCACAGAGGCCCCGAAACGGCTCCCGTGTGGCCTCCGAACTCCCTCCAAGAGGCCCCCGAGAGGCTCCGCACGAGATCCCAACGCACATCCAACGTGCTCTTTGCCAGCAGCCCAGGCACGGTGGCGGGATGGGCCGAAGGTCACGAGGCGTCCACCGCAGCTGGCCAGGCAAAAATCTCCGCCCGGGAGCGGGGAGCACGCCCCAGGGCTTGGCCGGGGAGGCGTGTGCACCGCTCCCGGGGCCCAGGATGGGCCCGGCCAGCGGCGATGGGTCTGCATAGATCTCGTCGCCCTCGGTCTGTGTCGGCGTGACCCCCGTTGGCGCAGATGGGGTCGGAGGATCGCGCCGCATCGCCGCTACATCGGCGATACATCGCCGATGCATCGGCGATGCTCCGGCGATGCACTGGCGACGTCGGCGGCGCATCGGCGACATCGGCGTGGAGAAAATCGGGCTCCGCATCGAGCCGCATCGGCGATGCGGCGCGGTCCTCCGACCCCATCTGCTCGGTCCCCATCTGGGAGCTCTAGACTGTGTCGGCGTGACTCCCGTAGGCGCTGACCCCCGTTGTGGGGGGGCAGAGATAGGGGGGTCTGGCATAGGGAATGATGCATCGACCTGGAATCGGCGATACATCGCCGATAGATCTGAAGTGGCCCTGGGACACACAAACAAATACACGCAAATAAAAGATTCCCTGTGCTTTCGCATATTTTCTGGGTTTTTGTCTTCCCCCCACTTCCCAATATTTTCCTGGGGCTCGTCGATTAATTGTGTACGTGTGTTTTTTTCCCTCTTGAAGATCGGCGATAGGCCCTCGACAGTGAATCCGCGCCTTCCTGGGGCAGTTTCGGGCTGTCGGGCCCCCCTCGGCGATAAACAGTGGGCGATTGGGGGTCGCTGCGTCGCCCCCTAGGCCTGGCCTCCCCTACCCAGACCCCCGACGTTTTTTTTTTTTTTACGAGACAGAGGATGAGCAGGAGGAGAAGGAGGACGATAAGGATGAGGATGAGGAGGATGAGGAGGAGGACGATGAGGAGGAGGAGGAGGAAGGCGAATGCAAGGAAGATCAGTTTGGTGGATTACGCTCTCATTCAACTTCTGGTGACCCTAGGACCCCCAGGGGTCTGGATCCCTTCCCCGGGACCGATTTCTCGTCTGGAGTCGTTTCTTGACGGTCCCGAGGCCCAGTGAGGGCCCCCAGAGGCCGAACATGGCTAAAAACCTCCCGTCGCGCTTTTTTTCACAGCGCGAGGAGGTCAGGGTGTCGCTGCCCCTGAGGTTGGCGCTGTACCCCGTTGCCTGTGCGACGACCGGGGCGACGACGGCCGCGGCGGCGGGATCGGCTCCGCGGCAACGTCCTGCCTGCTGGGGCGCTGCGAGCTGGCGGCCTCGGCGGCACGCCGCCGGGCTGCGGCGGCCGCGAGAGCCTCCGCGGGCTGCGGCCCCCTCTGCTCCTCCTCCACCGCCTCTTCCTCGCTATCCTCTGGCCTCCTCCTCCTCCTCCTCCTCCTCCTCCTCCTCCTCGTACACCCCAATATTCTTATCCTCCTCCTCCTCCTCCTCCTCCTCCTCCTCCTCCTCCTCCGTCTTCTCCTCCTCCTCCTCCTCATCCTCCTCCCTATCCGCCAACTCCTCCTCCTCCTCCTCCTCCTCCTCCTCCTCCTCCTCCTCCTTCTCCTTCTCCTGCATCCCGTCTCCTTATCAAAAGAATAGCCCCTCCCAGTCGCACCCCTGGACGTGTGGGTAGGGAGGGCTGGGCGGTTGGCCTGAGACCCCCTCACAACTTGTGATCCTGAACCTTGCTATTCGCAACAGCTTCATGCATGGAAGGCGGCTCGTTTTCACAATGTGGCTCCCGCCTTAGCGCCGCGTACGTTGGTCGTCTTTTTGCGGCAGCTTCTTAGATGGAGGGCGGGCAATCTTCAAAATGTGGCTCTCGCCTGAGCGCCGCGCACATTCGTCGTAAATGTTTGCAGCAGCTTCAAAGATGGAGGGCGGCTCCTCTTTAAATGCGGTTCTTGCATCAGCGCCGCGGACAGTCGTCCTAACAGTCCCACCAGCCCTTTGGGCTGAGGTGGTCTAGCGAGTTTTTTCTTTCCTCTTCCTCTTCCGAAGACCCTCTTCGGGGAGGGGTACGCTGCACAAACGGAAAATATGGCGCACGGCTTCACGAGTCGCAAACCACGACCGGACGAGGTGGACATGGCGAGTGCAGCGCTGGCACCCAGTCCTCAACCCGCGCCAGCGGGGACACAGGCAGCACGGTGGCCAAAACAAGCGCTGGGACGACGAAATCACCACTTACTTACGTCAACGCAGACCAGACCTCCACCGACCGCCCACGCAAGCCCATTCGAAAGGACAACCGAACGACATCACATGGACGCAAACAGCCCAAGACACCGAAGCATGGACAGCGCTCGAGCACCACTTCACCGACCTCACGTCGACCAGCACCGGGGACTCAGACCAATGACGTAAAATCTCAGCGAACGTCCCAACCCGCGCCCACACCGACACCAAGGACTTTCTTTTCCTCCTCCTCCTCCCCCTCTCCTCCTAACTTTTTTTACATGTCTCGCATTGCATGAATCCAGACACCTCAGATCCTAAGAGGCCATGGCCTCACCCACCTGGTCTGCTCTAGGCCCGGACTCTGTCCGTAACGGTGGTCGCATCGCATCTTCGGGGAGGGGCACCCTCCCCCTCCCCTCCCTGAGTTGTTTAGGGGCCGCGATGTGTCAGGGCGCCCAAGATGGCCCAAAATGGCTCCAAGAGGGCGTCCGATGCTCCAAGATGGCCTCTAAGATTGCTCAAGATTTCTGACGACGGTTCAAGCTAGTTTCCGACATACCTCCGAGAGGCCCGACGAGGGCCACAAGACGGTTCCGAGTGCTCTCGGAGCCCCCTCAGGACCCATCCAGAAGACCCAAACCTTTAACAAACGAAAGACAAGTACTGGTGTGTGTGTGTGTGTGCCTTCTCGCAGTTTCGCTTCCGATGCGCTGTTAAGGTCTCAAGATGACCCCAAGGTGGCCCAAGAGAGGCCCAAGAGGGACCTAAGAGCCACCCCCAGACGGTCCCAAGAGCGCCCAAGAGCGGCCCGAGAGCGCCCCAAAAGCGCCAAAGGGAGCGATGTCGAAGGCTCTTGGTAGGGGCGTAAGTTTAGGACCCCTCTTCCTTTAATCGACAGCTTCCATTCAGGCCTCAAGGGGCACTCCAGGGCTCCCAAGAGGGCCCCAAGAGAGCCACAAGAGGGCCCCGAAGAGGGCCCCAAGACGGCACCAAGAGCGCCTAAGAGCGGCCCAAGAGCGCTCCACGAGATCCCCAAGAGGCGGTTTGCCTCCTCCGCCTCCTCCTCCTCCTCCTCCTCCTTCTCCTCCTCCTTCTCCTTCTCCTTCTCCTCCTCCTCCTCCTCCTCCTCCTCCTCCTCCTTCTCCTTTTCCTCCTCCGCCTCCTCCTCCTCCTCCTCCTCCTCCTCCTCCTCCTCCTCCTCCTCCTCCTCCTCCTCCTCCCCCTCCTTCTCCTTCTCCTCCCCCCCTCGCCCCCCCGCGGGCCCGAGGGATGGCCCGAAGGCCCTCCAAGGCTACCCCCCTTGCTCCCAGAGATTTCTCTGTTCATCCTGGTTGCCGGCTGTGTTTCACTATGTCTCTTCTTCTCCTTTCCTGCCGGCTCTCCTTAGCAACGTTTCTGAACGGGCTTGTGCAGATACTTTTTTTTTTTACAGCCGCAGGCGGAAGCGCCAGCGGCGGAAGGTCGCGAACGGGCCGCGGACGCGACTAAATTACCTAACGCGCGCAGGGCCGCGGATCAGGCGGCGGGCTTGTGCAGATACGCGGAGCGTTAAGCATGTACAGCTCCAAACATTCGTATGGTTGAAGGTACAAGATCGGTGCTCCGGCACGATTCAGGATTGCCAGGACGTCGCGGCGTTGAAATCTCAGGGTTGGTGTCCTGGCGAGGTTCAGGATTGTGCGGACGCACCGGCCACGTTGTTTCGCGACGCTGAAGTCGCAGGAATGGTGCTTGGACGCGATTAGGAATTATCGCAAACGGCTTTCTTCCAAAAGGGCACTTCCCGCAATGAAAATCCGTCACCGCGCCTCCTGGCACGTTGAGGCGTGGAAGAATGCCAAGGGCTGTCTTGTAGGATGTTTGATCCTACAAAGAGACCCCCTCTCCCTCTACCTGGGGACTGTTCTGTTCATCCCTCCTACTCACCGAGGCCACTTGCCTCGTGTCCTCCCAGGGGTGATGCATTTCCAGCAAAACTGAGGGTGCCAAAACCCCCATTCCACGCGTGCCCGCTCGAGTATGGAGCAGCTCCCGCATGGCAGCTAACGTCTACACGCCCACTCCACGCTTGCCCGCTCGAGGATGGAGCACCCCCCGCACGGCAACTAATGCCTGAACCCCCATTCCACGCGGTGCCCGATCGAGGATGGTGCTCTTCCCGCATGGCAGCTAATTCCTGAACCCTCATGTCATGCGCGCCCGCTCGAGGATGGTGCTCTTCCCGCATGGCAGCTGATTCCTGAACCCTCATGTCGTGCGCGCCCGCTCGAGAATTACTTCCCGCATGGCTGCTAGCTCCTAAACCCTCATGTCATGCGCGCCCGCTCGAGAATGTGTACTTCCCGCATGGCTGCTACCTCCTAGCCCCCTCATCCCAGGCGCACCCGCTCGAGGCTCGTGCACTTCCCGCATTCCATGGCCGCTGCTCCCAAGCGGTCCAGGGCCTCCCACGCGGCGATGCCTCGTCAGAACCGATGGATCTGCGCCCGGAGGTTCCAAGAGGGCCTGTGCAGGCAATCAGGGACACCAAGATGGCCCACGATACATCGACGACGGCCCAAGATGGCCCCGAGGCGGCCGCCGATATTGATCCAAGACGGCCCAAGATGCCTCCAAGAGGGCCCCAAATGGCCACAAGAGGACCTCCAACAGGGTCCGAAGAAACCGCAATTATTGATAGGGTTTTTGAATGATTTCGCATTCTCGCCTTTTCGGGCTGCCGTCAGCTCAAGACGGCCCAAGAGGACTCCACGATGGCCCGAGAGGCATCCAAGACGACCCCAAGACGGCCCAAGAGGACCTCATGTGGGACCCAAGACGGCCTTGGAAGGCCCTTCGACGGCCCAAGAAGGCGCCAAGACGGCTCTGGCCCCACGACGGCCACCAAACAACCACCATACGGCCAAGAGGGCCCCAAGACAGCCCAAGAAAGCCCCAAGCCGGCGAAAGAGGGCACCAAAAAGGCCCAAGAGGGCCCCTAAGGAATCCCATGGACCCCCCCAAGACTGCCCCACAGGAGACCTAGACAGCCCCAAGACGGCCAAGAGGAGTTTCATCATCATCATCATCATCATCATCATCATCATCATCATCATCATCATCATCATCATCATCATCATCATCATCATCATCAACATCATCACCATCACCACCATCCTCCTCCTACCCATAATCATCATCAGCAGCACCATCATCATCAGCAGCAGCAGCATTACCATCATCATCAGAATCCTCACCATCATCGTCATCCTCATTAGCATCCTTCTCCCCTTCCTTATCCCCCTCCTCATCATCGCCATTACCATCATCATACTCAACGTCATCGTCATCGTCATCGTCGACGCCGTCGTCATCATCATCATCATCATAATCACTATCACTATCACCATCGATCACCATCACCATCACCATCACCATCACCACCACCACCACCACCACCATCATCATCATCATCATCATCATCATCATCATCATCATCATCATCATCATCATCATCATCATCATCATCATCATCATCATCATAAGCATCATCATCATCATCATCATCATCATCACACCGTCGTCGCCACCACCATCATCATCATCATCAGCAGCAGCAGCATCATCATCACCATTATCATCGTCATTACCCCGATCACCCTCATAATCATCATTCATTTCATCACGGCGCTCCCAAGCCTGGAGACACGAGGTGTAACACGTAACGGCCTCCCGTACTCCCTCGGACAGTCGCCAACCAGAAAACTGGGCTGGCACGGTTGCGGGACTCGCCAAAGACAGCTGGATAAGTTCTTGTAGGGCCGTATGAAGAGGGAACTTTCACGGCAGGTGTATTGCAACATCGTTGATGCGTCTTAGGTTGACACTAGGCCTCCTCCTCCATCTCTATCCTCCACTTCCTCTATCATCCTCCTCCTCCTCCTCACCCACCTCCTCATCCTCTATCCTCATCTTCTGCAATCCTCCTCCCCTCGTGCTGCGTGCCGCAATTCCTCGTCCTCGCCTTCTGTCATCATCCTCTATCACCGTCTATCATCATCATCATCATCATCATCATCATCATCATCATCATCATCATCATCATCATCATCATCAGCATCAGCATCAGCATCAGCATCATCAGCATCATCAT